TCCTGGGGTCTCTTGGGAGCCTCTTGGCGGCATCTTGGGCCATCTTGGGGGCCTCTCGGGGCCTCCTAGGGCCCTCTTGAGGCGGAAGGCTTGAGGTTTCGGTTCGTGGTCCCTATCTTGGGCCCCTCTTGGGGCTTTCTTGGGGCTCTCTTGGGCCGTCTTGGGCGTCTCTTGGGGGCCGTCTCGGGGCCAGTTTGGGCTCAATGGGGGCCTTCTTGGGGGCCTCTTGAGCCGTCTTCGTGCGCTCTTGGGGGCCTCTTTGGCCGTCTTGGAGCATCGGAAAGCCGAAACTGCGACAAGGCCAAAATCCTTCCAAAACCATCGTCAATTTGATGATTTTGGCCTCTCGGGGCGCTCTTGTGAGGCCTCTTGGAGGCCACTTGGAGCGTCCTGGCGGCTTCTTGGGCCGTCTTGGAATCATCTTCGGCGTCTTGGAGCGTCCTTTGGGCGTCTCGGGGGCCTCTTGAGCAGTCTTGGGGGCCTCTCGGGGTCCTCTTGGCGCGCTCTGGGGGGCCTCAGAGGCCGTACCCAGGAGGAAAACCATCTCTGAGTAGACCTTCCCGGGACCTTTCCGGGCTGCGGTCGGGGTATTTTTCGCCGGGGGACCCCCAGGGGCCGCCCCGCGCGCCCGAACTAGAAGAATTGTGAACCAGTTACCCGAGATCTTAGCACGCCTCTGGCCCGTTGGGCCGGCGAATTTGGAGTGCCGTCCCCAGGGCTCGCCCTTTGTCGTGGAGCTCGAACTGCGTCCGTGGCCGCCGGTTTACAACAACGGCAACAACGGCTCCCACTTGACACATCCCCACGATTTGATCAAAAATCTTTGGAACATCGCGCTCCCGCGCGGGACTTCCTTGCAATTTATCCAGGGATCGCGCTGTCGAACGGCACGTCGCCGCCATGTATCGAGACGCCGCGCCCCCAACACTCAGGAAGCATTTTCTCGTTATGGCATTCGCAGCGACTTACTCCTTAGACGATGCTTCTAAGAAAACTTAAATTTTCGGCCAGAGTCTCGATTATTCTTAATGTTTCAATGTAAATCCTAAGATTTGAATGGAAACTTTAGGTTTTTATTCAAGTTCTGAGACTATGAATTTCTTAACCCATGATTTCTTAAGCATTTCGCAGGGTGTACTCGTGAGTCGCGCGGTCGCTCGAGAATTCCTCGCGATTCGTGCAGGACTGCCGGCTGCCGCTTCAGCGGCCTGCGCGCTTCCGTCTCCGCCGCCCGGGCCCGCCCGCCCGATCCGCGCGTGAGGGTCCGCCGGCCTGACCCGGCAGTCGCACTAGTCTGGTTCTACACCTTAGGCGATGCTTAAGAAAACCTAAGTTTTCGGCCAGAGTCTCGATTATTCTCAACGTTTCAATGTAAATCTTAAGATTTTAATGGACATGTTGGGTTTGTATTCAAGTTCTGAGACTCTGAATTTCTTAACCCATGATTTCTTAAGCATTTCGCAGGGTGTACTGTTTTTTTCTGCTCCTATCCTCCTCCCAGTCTCTGTCGTGGTCCATCCTGCTCGCTCCCCCTCGCCCCTCCCCTCCCCCTCCTCCCTGTTTGAGGGGCTGCGCCAACTTCACGTGGCAGGTAATTAGAGAAAGTATCCTCCCTCAAGGGGGTATGATCATAGTCGACGAGGGCGGCTATCGAGGGTTTTGGATGTACATGTTGCTCTCATGTCTAAATGATGACTGTTGTTGATCTCCCCTCCGCGGTGCCCATCTATGTTTTCTTCCTTTGAAGTGTCTTCCCCAGGGCTCGCCCTTTGTCGCGGAGCTCAAACTGCTCCCGTGGCCGCCAGTTCACAACAACAACGGCTCCCACTGGACACATCCCCACGATTTAATCAGAAGTCTTTGGAACATCGCGCTCCCGTGCGGGATCGGGTGACAAGGAGGTTGTGTGGGGGGGGAGAGGGGGGGGGAACCAACAAATGACTCAATCGATCTCACTATCGATCTCACTCAACGGGACACCACGGGACACCACGGGACTCTGGTCGATCTCACTATTGATCTCACTCAACGGGACACCACGGAACACCACGGGCCAGCGCCCCCAACACTCAGGAACCATTTTCACGTTATGGAATTCGCAACGACTTACTCGTGAATCGTGCGAACTCTCATGTCTAAATGATCATAGTTGTTTATTTCCCCTCCCCGGTGCCTATCTGTGTTTTAAATTGAAGTGCCTCCCCCAGAGCTCGCACAAGCTGTTGGGCTCACACGGCGCCCCTGGCCCCCGACTTACAACAACAACGGCTCCCGCCGGATACCTCTTCACGATTTATTATAAATCGCGCTCGCGCGTGGGACTTTCTCCTCCAGGAGTCGCGCTCTCGCCGGGTACTTCTCGGAAGTTTATCTCAAGGCTGCCGCCTCTGCCGCCGACCCCAGAAAACCTTTGAGGTTGCGAGGCCGGGTGCCCCAGCGTCTTCTTGAGGTTGACTTTGACGCCGAGCCTCCATCCGTGGTCATGATTGGGCCTGAAAGTCTCGGGCGAAACGCACAGTTCGCCCCGGCTGCAAACGAATCGTCGCTTGGCGGATGACGGGAAACCGTTCGTTCACATATTCGTATAACTTACATGTGTTTTGTGTGCCTGCGATGATGATTTTTGTTGGTGCGGAGGCGAGCGTTGGAGGTCGGCACGAACCTCAAGAAGCCTTGCGATGTACGGGAATTCGATTGGCAAATACGATGTGTGCCTGGCAAGCAAGGAGAGGAGGAGGGACGAGCTCAAGGGGGAGCGGGAAGATGCCAGCCACCGCGTTGTCTAGGTCCTGACTCCAGGATGCAAGGCGTGTGGTGACTTGCCTGACCGAGGGGTCCAGAGCCGACCTACGTTCAATCTCGAACGCATCGCAGCAACACCTCCGATGGAAAAGAGTGCCTGGCGCACTCAGGCGCAGCTCACACAAGGGGGAGCTGACCAACTTATGAGCGTGCATCCGAGACTGAGTCCAGTGATGCCGCGAAGCAAGACTCCTGACTGCCTCTTGGTGGTGCGGCGCCGAAAGCGTCTTGCATGGGCCTTCCATGGCCTGCCGAAGAGGGGCCCAAAAGGGGGGCCCACGCCAAGCCTTGGGAGAGGCCCTGGAGGAAAGTGCCTGGACATCCGAAACCTGAGCAGCCGAGGTGCGGGCCATGGCACTCACCTGCTTGGGCGCCAGGGCTAATGCATCGAGCCGCTCTCCACGCTCAGTGATTAGTGTTTTGGCATCTAAGACTTGCCAGCCCAGGGCTCTGATAGAACTCGCATAGACGTGCGCAGGGGAGCTTACTACCCCACAGGCGTGTCTGGCGGCTTGGCGCTCTTCCAAGGCACCCGGGGGGACCTTCTGGAGGTTGTCCAAAGAAGGGCGCCCGTCTCAGAGAGTTTGAGTCCAGAACAATTTTACTTGACTATGGCACAGGGCCATCGGGTCCATCCTGAGACCCGCAGCCGTTGAGTGTTCAGGCGTAGCCCCAACGAGGCCGCGCCTCTCTGCCTGTGAAGGCTGTTCAGGGCTCCTCGTCGAAGCCCGCGAAGCTGGCTCCCCGTCGGACCTGTCCCCGGCGCCTCCCAGAGCCGTCGCTTGAGGTCCAGCTTGGCGTGCCCGATGAACCACCGCTGTTCCTCTTAGGCGCCAAAGCCTCCAGCTCCTCTTGGCTCCCTTTAACGAGCGTGCTCGGCATGCGGGGTTGCGCCGTCGTCTGCCGCAAGTTGCATCAGGCCCCAGGCTTTTAGCAACCCACTTCCTGGAAAAGCGAAGCCCCCGCCACCGTTGGGACAGACCCTTGGCAAGACGGGCAGAGGATGCAACAAAGTGCGTCCTATGACCAGCCAAGACGAGCTCGAGACGTTGATGTCCTGCAGCCATTTTTTCCGACATGCCCTGGTTCATTGGTGACGTACGCCTCGGTTCCAAGGGTTTGGGCGTGGATGGCGTCCACTGAGTTGCGGACGTGCGCGGCAGTGTGCTGCTGGGCGATTTGACCACGGCAGCCTATACACACGTGTGTGCGCCAAATTGGTGGCCAGCGCGCAGCCCGCCAGCACTGCGCCCTCTGCCGTGAATATGTCGCTGATGGCACTCTGGAAGCGAAGTATCCGAGCCCCCGAGCCAAGGCGGCGCGCAATTAGGGCCAGCTTCGAGTTCATCCCAGTGTGCTTGGCTTCGTTCGTTCGGTGAAAGTGAGATGTATGCTCGTGGAACCTGGCTAGGTCCGTAAAGAGAGTCGCCGCCCAGCAATCAGTGCGGGCCGTCTCCGTCGGGCTCGCCAATGAAGACAATGATGGACGGCCGTCGAGCTGGGGGCACTGGCTTGGCCTCCCACGAAATGATGACGTCTTGCAGGCGCTGCTGGAAATCGAGGTCGAGCAAGAGCCGAGCGCGCGGCATCGCGCCTGACCCTCTTGAGGAGCAGAGCGGCTCTCGTGGCTTCGTGCTCCTGCTCGCTGCTAACGGGGGTCCTGCCATTTTGCCAGTGCTCGCCCCATTGGTCCCGAAGGTGTTGGAT